TAGACTTACTTTTTGTATTGATGAGAAGCCTTTTCAATTCTGCGTTATCCTTCACCGTGGTCAATTCAAGATCATAAATATCATACCCAAGGAGATTCGACATGGCGACGATCATGGTGGACTTTCCGGTCCCCGGCGGTCCATACAGCAAATACCCGCGCTTCCAAACCTTGCCAATTTTCTTGTAATATTCCTTCCCCTGGCTGAACGTAATTAAATCATCAACTATCTGCTCCTTCCTCTGTGGATCCATAGCGAAGGTATCAAACGATGCTGGATGATCAAAAACGGCGAAATTCCACTCATCCCCTTCACCATTCATGTACAGCCGCCTCTGCCTCCGGCGAACCTGAATCGCCCTCCCTTCTTCCAATACATAATTAACGTACTTCTCGGCTATGATCTGACGATATTTCGCGTGAAAGATAAGAATGTAATACCTTTTATCTGCATCATGAGGAGACCAAGATATCGTCTTGCGTTCTGGAATTTGTTTCCCTCTGTACCACTTCACCTCGACACCGTGAAAATTATCGGTGATGTACTCATGGTCGTCCAAGGCAAGCACAAGGGGCTTGCTTTCTTTGGCAATTTCAGCTCTGAGGCGGGAGGCTTTAGCGGCGGACTTCGAGCTGAGGTAGGATTCGATGACGGTGTAGGCCTCACTGCGCCTGTAGAGACCGGGGGAGAACTCGTTAAAGGTGATTTGCATGGTGGGTTTGAAGTAATGAAGCAGCTTGTACCACAGATTTTGAACATAGTCTTTGAGGAATTGTGGGAAAAATTGTTGGAACGTTGCCCAAATGAACATTAGTCCAGCGAGGCTTGAACCCCAATCATCTAATTTCCCTCCCTCCATAATTTGTGTTCTTGGAATTAATTTGTGTTCTTGGCTTCTTGCGGAGTTGCAGGGTTTAGCTGAGCATCCCTGTATGTATGTGTATATATATATATGTTCACACAATGGGAACCGCCATCGATTCCCAACTTCCAATTAATCATGAGAATATTGTTTTTATTAGGATTGCTTTCAAAGACATGCTAAACATATTCTTGAAGTCAAACAATTGCATCTTTAACATGGGAAATTAATTTTCTGGTATTATTATGTAATCATGTCTCTGTTTCATTGCCTCTTAGAACATTAATTTAATTAATTTTAGGGAATCAATGGACAAGATAAGGAGACTAGCTAGCAATATTGATATGTTATTTTCATATAAAAAATCATAATTAATTTAAATTATTGAAAATTGAGAGATAAATAGTTAAAATTTTAATAAATATAATTTATAAAATTTATGTGTAAATAAATTTTTTCTCTTCATATATATTACAAAATGTTATATTGTTCAGTTTTAAGGATCAAGGACTACTAAAAAAAATGGAATGTACAATTTTTGGTTTAATTAACTGTATGATATTGGGTGTTAATTGTTTGTTTTTAAATGCCATTGATTATACAGTATTCAGGAGCATGCTTTTGAATTTGATGACCTATATCTGTTTGGATTCTGCTTAATTTGTCATGTTTGCTGCATGATCAACCGTTTTTCATGTTAGAATCATTTTCATCCAGATGTTCTTGTTACTTCAAGGACAAAAATCAGCCAGGCAACCTGGAAAAAAAAAAAGGGCAGCTGTTGTTGAGTTTTAGTTGATCGGGAAAAAATTTTAACAGGGAATTTTTTATGCAGTGTGATTTCATGCTTGCCTCAAAAGAAGATGAAGAAAGTGAGATAAACGTTCAAGTGTGTCAATTTTAAGAAAGAGGTTATAGTGTTATATATCACTGATGACTTTGGACGTTGGTTATGATCCTCCCCTTAATACCATCAAATCCTAACTTCTAAATTATTAAAAATTGTAAGTTTAAGTGAATCAATATGTTGGTTATCCTCACCTTAATCCCATCAAATTCTAAAGTTATTAAAAATTGATATATAAATTTAAGTGTATCAATCTATAATTAAATAATTAAGTATCTTCTTGTATGTCAAATTTAGAATTTAAATATTAAAATTAATATTTAAAAAAAAATTTCTTAAATACACTAAATTAACGTAGAAAGAGCCCTTCAAATCATCCGTAACACTTTAATAATAAACAGTTTAACTATAAATACCCAAAAAAAAAAAAAATTCTCTCCTAATTGTTAGAAAATAGAAATGCTAGGACAAAATGGAAAACCGAAAAAATTGTTGTTTAATTACTCAAAAATTTTAAAATTAAGAAAGGCCCATATCTACTTCTTCTTCCTAAAGGCCCGTCAAGGGTCCAACCGATCCAAGTTTGACTGTTCCAAAAAAAATATTTAGGAAGCGGCGGATCAGACGGCTAGATTCGAATCACAGATTCTATAATCTCATTATCATGAATCGACACGCACACAGACAAGTCCTTTCTATAGATATTAAAACCTTCCTGATTCGTCTTCAACCTGACGCTTGGCCCTTCTTGCTTTTCGCAAGGAGCTCAGGGATCGTTCCGACGAACATCGGAAGCATCAGAGAACTTCTCTAATCCGGTGAGTTTTTTCCCCATTACTCATACGTCTATTTTATATGAAAAGATGTTTGGTTTTTTGGGCAAAGCATTTTCTCAGTATCGGAAGGTAGATCTGAAAGCTAGTTCTGTGCGGTATATTAGGACTAAGACGATTCCTTCTCCTAAATCACCACACCAACAACAACCCCTAACCGTTTCTTACCTCACTGACTCATGTGGGTTGTCGTTGGATAAAGCTATTTCAGCTTCTAAGTGGATTAACCTTAAGAACACTGAAGGACCAGATTCAGTTCTTAGGCTTCTACAAAGTTATGGTTTCACTAAATCCGACATTGCTACTTTGATCTCTAAGCACCCACGTTGTTTGATGGCTAACCCAGAGAAAACTCTTAGGCCCAAGATTGAGTTTTTTGAGTCTTTGGGCATCGTGGGAGAAAGCCTGACTAAGGTTATCTGTTCAAAAGAACGTATTCTCCAGAGTAGTTTGAAGAAGCAAATAATACCTTTTGTTGATTTCGTTAAAGGGAATTTTGGGACAGGTGAGAACATTGTGTGTTCTTTGAAAAGTCTCAGTACATGGAGTATTTTTTGGTGTAATCCTGAGAAGACTATGGCTCCTAATATATCCACATTGCGTGCACAAGGTGTGCCAGAAGGCCATATTCAGACACTACTAGTGTGGCACCCTCGGGCATTTACATGTAATGTTGATTTCTTTGAAGAGATGGTTCATGAAGTTAAAGCAATGGGTTTTGAACCAGCAAAAAAGTCCTTCATTTATGCTCTTCGTCCAAAGACAGCTATGAGCAAGGAAACTTGGGAAAAAAAGAAGGAGTTTTTGATGAGCTATGGTTGGTTGGAGGAGCAATTTCAATCTGCATTTGTACATCAGCCGGTTTTCATGCTTACCTCAGAGAAGAAGATCGAGAAAGTGATGGATTTCCTTTTAAACACTGCAGGTTTGAAGTCATCAGATGTAGCAAAGTGCCCAAATCTTTTACTTTGTAGCTTGGAGAAGAGACTTATTCCAAGATGGTTATTCATGAAAGTTTTAATGTCCAAAGGTTTGATAAAGCCTGTTGAGTTAACCTGGTTCTTAACTTTGAGCAATAGTGTTTTTGAGAGGAGGTATGTGATTGAATATGAGAAGGATGCTCCTGAAGTGATAAAGGCATACCGGGATGGGACTGGGTTCAAGGATTTGGTAACAGATTGTAACACTTGAAATTGGCTGAAGGGATGTCTCATGTACGCTGCAATTGCTTGTGATACAGTGGCAGTAAGCATTGAGGAGGGCTAACTTGTTAGGACTTACATCATCATGTAGAAAAGAGATGCTGAATTTCTTCAACTAAAGGGAGCTTTATCTTGCCTCAAAATAAGGGTTCACGTTCCTTATTGACACCTTTTTGCTCTGTTTATTTTGCCATTGAAGTTAATTTAGAACTTGAGTCATGAGAGATGCTTACCAGTTTTCATTTATTGACCCTTCTCTGACTTGAAATCTTTTTAGGACAACAAGATGTTTGAATGACGGATCATTGGCTTTGTAGAGTCTGAACCATACTGTCTGGTATTGGTTGCTTTCATCTTCCTGTCATATTGTTTCCTCTTGATATGTGTGATGAGCAAGCGATGATCCAGTCATCGGATGCAACAATGTATCCCTCATTCCCCATAGCAAGAACACTAAAACTTTTGTAATTCTAAACATCAATCTTGCTTTTTTACTTTGGGGTACTAATTGTTTTGATATTTGACTTTCACGGAGATTTTGCCATTTATGCGCAAAACTTAACGTTCAGTTTACACATATCTGTACTGCAACTAACAGTTCCATTTTGGGAAAAAAAAAAAAAAGTACTGCAACTAGTAGTTTATTATGCTTGCAAAACAACATTTGTGATATGAATCAATTCATTGGGATGTTTTACCTTCTTCATCCTCTTTCCTCCCCACTTTGCATCATATTTACATACCAAATAATAATGTAACTTTCACTAGTCACTACCTCTATACTACAAACTGATTAACACTCCCATAATACCATAGTGATTAATACCTCATGATACCATGTATTTAAATGGTGAAAATGAAATTTTTTGCAATCCCTCAATTAGTAAGAGCTTAATTCTTATAATCTCCTACTTAGTGAATGTTAATTTTTTGTAACTCTTATCTCTTATTAATTCCTATATATAGGGTTTGTATTCTTGTTAATGTATGAAAATAAATGAAGAGCAAATGAGAAGAAAGGAATAGAAGTATATTATATCTTTGCATTGTTTCATTTTATCTCTCTAATTTCTTTTTTTCTTTTAATTAATTCTTTCTTTATTTTACAACAATTTGTTTTTTTTTTTAAAGTGTTTTTATAATGTAAAAGCTAAAGCGTGATTATCACTAGCTATTATTTTGTTAATATTATATAAAAATAATTTAATTGGATTAATAACTTATTTGTTTGTAATTTTTTAAAAATAATTAATTATTATATTTAAAAATATTAATTTATAAATAAATTTTAATTTATTAAATTATAAATATTATTATTAATTATGAATTATTTTTTATTGTTAAATAAAATTAAATGATGTTAACAAAATAATAGGCTATAATTACACCTCATATAACGGTAGCAAGGGACTTTAGAAGAGACAAAGTTACCACTTATTTTTATTGGTTTTTTTTTTATATATTAACCTCTTGGTGTTTGATTATCTCATTAAATCTTAATTGATGTGAAATCGAGTTATATCATATCATATAAAGAAAAAACTCTCTCAACGTCAGTTTCTCTATTAATAAAATTTAGACTTGATATCTTATTCAAGGAAAATCGAATTCCTTCAACTTAAATCAACACATTGTTAAAAACATCCAACAAAGTAAAAATAATTGTACTTAGTGAAGGAAAACATCAAGTACAAGAAATTAGGAGGGCTAAATTATCCAAAATGAAGTTTGTAAGAGCGAAAATCAATAGAAGTCCAAGGCATATGGGCTAATTTTGTAAAAGCTGAAAATAGGAGATGAAATCCAAAGGAGAAGTCACTGCATCCGACGGCTGAAACAGGATCATATAGACAATAAACGGGGAGGGGAGGGGAAAAAATTCCGTCCTCATTTGCGCGCTCAGAGACTGCACCGACGAAGATCGCCGGAATCATCAGAGCTTCTCTAATCCGGTAAGCTCTCATAACCCATCAGTCTAGCTTAGAAGAAAAATGTTGGGTTTCATTCGAAGAGCATTGATAGAGTATAGTAGGAGGGCAGATTACGTGCGTTATATCAGAACGATTCCATCTCCTAAAACTAATTCAAGTGACAAACAGCAATCCCCAACAGTGTCTTACCTCACTGGCTCATGTGGGTTGTCCTTGGATAAAGCTATTTCAGCTTCCAGGTTTGTTCAGATTGAGAACACTGAAGGACCTGATTCAGTTCTTAGGCTCCTGGAGAGTCATGGGTTTACTAAATCTAACATTATCCGCTTAATCTCTAAGTACCCAAAATTTCTATTGGCTAATCCAGAGAAAACTCTTAGACCCAAGATTGAATTTTTCGAGTCTCTGGGCATTGTGGGAGAAGACCTCACCAAGATTCTCTGTTCACATGTAAATATTCTGTCTCGTAGTTTGGAGAAGAAGATATTACCGCTCTTCGTGCCTAATATATCCAGATTGCGTGCTGAAGGTGTGCCAGAAGACCATATCAAGAGACTGCTAATATGGATCCTCGGTCACTTATGTGTAGAGTGGATTTATTTGAAGAGGTGGTCAATGAAGTTAAAGCAATGGGTTTTGATCCAGCTAAGAAGACTTTCATCTTGGCAATTCGGTCAAAGGCATTTGTAAGCAGGGAAATTTGGGAGAAAAGGAAGGAGCTTCTGATGAGCTATGGTTGGTCAGAGAAACAGTTTCAATTAGCTGTTGTTATGCGGCCTGATTTCATGCTTACCTCAGAAAAGAAGATGAGGAAGATGATGGATTTTCTTTTAAACACTGCTAGTTTGAAACCAGTAGATGTTGCTATCTGCCCAAATCTTTTCCTCTGTAGCTTGGAGAATAAGTTCATTCCAAGATGGTCACTTTTGAAAGTTTTAATGTCAAAAGGTTTGGTAAAGCATGTTAATCTAGTTTGTGCCTTCATTGTGAGCAATAAATATTTTGAGAAGAAGTATGTGACTGAGTATGAGGAGGATTTTCCTGAAATAACCATGGCATACCGGGAACAGACTGGATTCAAGGATTTGGTAGCAGATTGTGAGACTTAAACTTGGCTGAAGGAAGGCAGGACCGCAATGGCCTGCCATTTAGTGGCAGCTGGTTTCTCTATTGAAGGACTTGTACATATGTCCAAAGCAGGTTGGGAGAAAATGGAGGACCTTCTTATGAACTATGGTTGGTTGGGGAAACAATTTCAATTGGCATTTGCATTGCAACCAAATTTTAAGGCTATCTCTGTCAAGAAAGTGATAATGGCAGTGATTTCTGTGGGTGCTGATCTTTTGACTTGGTATTGGTTTGTTAAATTGGCAAAACATGTTAAGCTTTACAACAATTCTGTGCAGTAAATCTTTTGCTGAACATTCCCATTTAAGGTTATGTTTTCCATGTCTACATGCTTTCAAACTTCAATCTTTTCATTATATATACATTTCCTTCTACAAAACTACTGCTAAGCACCTTGGGAACAATTGCACATGCTTGTATCCTGATTTGGCTGCTAATGTAAGCAATAACTTACAGCTAGAAAATTCTTTTTATATGAATAGGAAGGTGGTTAACCCTTGAATTAGCTGTACTTCCTATTATTAAGGTATGTGATTGAGTATGAGGCTCTTGAAATAATTAATAAGGCATACCAAGAGGGGACTAGATTCAAGGATTCGGTTGCAGATTTCAAGGCTTAAAATTGGCTTCCAATACATTGGTAGTGATTACTCTGGGTGCTGATTTCTTATTGATTGCGCTCTTCATAATAGCAATTCAAATAGGAGTGCTTTACCATCCAGGTAACAACTCTGCTTGCCCCTCTTTACTATTGACTCGATCAAATAATTGACTGGTTATTTTACTTTTTGTCTAGAAATTGACTAATAGGCAAATCATGTTGAGTGCAAGGGAGATGAATCATAGTTAGTTGGATTGATAAGGGACTTTACTAAATTTTTTGTTGCACTTAGCCATGTTGGACAATGGATTATCTTTTCCATGCCAATAGTTTTTGTTGATAACAAAGTATCTTTATTATTACTTATAGTTCTAATGAATTGAATAAAAAAAAAAAAATGCTACGTACAATACTCTCTCCTAACATTGGAAATCCTTATCTTGTAGGGGTCAATTGCTATGGCTGAAAGCTTGTATGAATTGAGATGGACGGATCATGGATGGGTTAATGCAGGCACAATTTGTCTCTTTATGTGGTAGTCAGAGAAATTTGAGTCAATTGTGGTCCCTTTCTTCAAAAATTAAAATCCCTGTCCTCTTGTGTAACTCCTTTTGCTTTTCATCACTTCCATGCAATTTTCAATCATGTCTGCCTTACCCTACAAAATGATATGCAGAAGATGACCAGTTTTCTAATGCAATAAAGTAGCAATGTCTTGCCTCAAAATACGAGCTCCCTTTTTTTTTTTTATTGACCATCTTTGTTTGTCTTTTATATACTACATTGAAATGAAAGCGTTTTAACTGTAATGATCAAGTTTAAGGGATAATTATCTGTTTTTTGGATGAAATTTTAAGGGATGAATGTTTATTTTAAGTGTGTAGGGATAAGGCATTTAAAAAAAAAAAAAATAGAGATGAAAGTTTTCTAATCAAGAGTGATTGATGATTGGTAAAGGAAGAAATTAGGATTTGAGTCGTTTGACAGACTGCAGTCAGATGCCAAATTCAAAAAACATTCGTACCAATCCAAGGCCAGGGGCTCCACTGGCCCTCCATTGAACGTGCCTCTTTGTTTGTGCAGCCATGCCATTGCCACCACTTCACGCCTCCAATGCAATGGCGCGTTATCAAAACTCCAACAACGTTAAGAAATTAAAATGTGTGTCCGATTCCCCGTGATGGTTCTCTTTGTAATTTGAATGGGATTCCAAAGCCAACGGTTCCCTGAGGCACGTGAAACTGCCCCTAAAATCAGGCAGATCCCAACAGGGTAATGGGGTCCAAACTTGGGGGCTGGAAGCTTAATACAATTCAAAGTTCTAATGATCATGTGCGTGTGTCCCCTTTCCCACTTGAAACGAAGTGAAGAACGAACATCTTTCAACCTTAGTCCTACTTTTAACTGATTTGCGAATCTGCTTACTACAGACTACAGAGTAACTTGTTTGTATCATTTGTGACAAATCCTCTCTCTCCTCCATTCTTCAGGGTTCAGGCATTCTACTTGGTCTGTCCTTCTACAAGAAAACTATAGGAAGCTTTATCACTGTCTTTACTCTCTCTTGTACGGCCCTATCAACTTCCACCCTCCATTTTACTGGTTCTATGGAGTATTCTCCTTAATTTCACTCACACTCACAGGTATAAATGTATATATATCAGGAATGTCACCCCTATCTACCTCATCCTCTATTAACTTTCAGATTGATATTTTAATGTTCTTATTTTTCTTTGTTCTAGGCCCTTGTTTCCTAGATTGGTTGCTGGGTTGTTTGTTTTCCCAGAAATTGTCTGCAAAGCGAAAAACATCGGAGACAGAAAAAGTTTTGTACTAGAAGTTAGCAAAGCTTCTATCTTGGACTGCCCCAGTAAGATTTTTTTCTTTCTGTTTTTCAGCATTTGCTTGGATTTCAGCTTTTATTGCGTCTATCAGTTTTCCGGGGTTTGGCTAAGGATGAATTATTAGTGAAGAATCTTACCTTTGCAAGTAAGCTGGATTTGAAGTTGAGTTCTGGTGATTTTTCTTCTTTGGGTTGTACAATCTCAAACACAAGCATTGCCTGTTGTGGATTTTAAAAGTCAATAAGTGTTTGCTAGATAAGGGTATGTTGAGTTTCTGTAGAATTTAACAGTTCTGCTTTACTTCTGGTGTTGCTTTCCCCTTCGTAAATCTACAATTGGTGCTTCCCAAGTTTGTTTAATGGGAAATTTGCGGTCGTTTGTTCTGGCATTGTTTTCATGGCTGTTCTTTATCCAAAGCACCTATGAATTGGAAGCCTATCAAACTCAACTTCTGCTGCAATTAAGGGAACGCTTAGAGTACCCTTCACAGTTGGAAATATTGGATAATTACAACGGAGAAATCTGTAGTTTGTCTTCAACTGCACATTTTAGTATCTCATGCCAGGAGAATTTTGTCACTGAGCTCAAGATTATGGGAGATAAGCTTGCCAATGTTAATGAATTCAATGGACATTCAATTCCTGGTGTAACTCTGTCTGGGAGCTTCTCCATCGATTCTTTCATTACCACATTGACAGGGTTAACCAGCCTGAGGGTTCTCAGCCTAGTGTCTTTAGGAATTTGGGGGCCACTTCCTGATAAAATTCAGAGCCTTTATTCACTAGAGCTTTTGGACTTTAGCTCAAATTTCATGTTTGGTTCTATCCCTCCTCAGATATCTACAATGGTTAAGCTTCAGATGTTCATAATAGATGGGAATTATTTCAATGATACTATTCCTGATTCATTAGGTTCATTATCAAATCTTACTGTTCTGAGTTTGAGGGGCAATCGGTTGAAGGGTCAATTTCCTTCTTCAATATGCAGAGTATCAAGCCTAACTGATATTGCCTTGAGTCACAATGAGCTTTCTGGTAACTTGCCTGATTTGAGTAGTCTAACTAGCCTCCGTGTTTTGGATTTAAGAGAGAATCAATTAGATTCTGAACTGCCCCTAATGCCACAAGGTTTGATCACAGTTCTCCTTGCTAAGAATTCATTCTCTGGCAAAATTCCTGAGAAAATTGGCAATTTGGGTCATCTCCAGCACCTTGATTTATCATTTAATCATCTCAGTGGAACTCCTCCTTCTGCCTTGTTCGCTTTGCCAAACATCAGTTATCTGAATTTAGCATCCAATTTGCTCAGTGGTTCACTTCCAAAACATCTAACTTGTGGTAGCAAACTCGGGTTTGTTGATATTTCTAGTAACAAGTTGATAGGCGAGCTTCCTTCTTGCCTGGACAATTTTTCAGATGAGAGAGTAGTTAAGTTTGGCTGGAATTGCTTATCCATTGATGCCCAACAGCAGCATAAAGGGTCATATTGTGAAAATGTCTATAGGAGGAAAGAATTCAGTGGAAGAGCAGCGCTAATTGTTGTTACTGTTGGGGCTGCCCTCTTTCTGGGACTTTGGGCATTTGGGATTCTTTTTCTATGTAGAAGATGCCGTTCACAAAGGACATTTGAAACACATATACGGCAAAAGGTTGAGCAAGACACTTCAAAAACTGGTGTTTCTTCTGAAGTCCTTGCAAGTGCCAGTAAGTTGCGCAACAGTCAAACCATTTTTGTTATTTTGATCATCCCAAATCAAAGATAAGTTCATATTTTATGTGATTAGTGTATCTTTTTCCATTTTTGTTTGTGTAGGATTGATTTCTGAAGTAGTGAAGCTAGGGACACAGGGTGCTCCAGCATGTCGACTGTTTTCCTTGGAAGAGTTGAAGGAAGCCACAAACAATTTTGATTCAACGATGCTTATGGGTGAAGGTTCTATCGGGAAGGTAACTATGAAGCTGAAGTTGCTTCAAATTTTAGATGACTTTGTTTGGTCACCAGAAAGGTGCTAGTTTTTGAACAAAGAGATGAAGATCTGATAAATGCAGAACTGAATTTTTCCATTGAACGAATCTGCCTTTTACAAGGAAATAAAAGAAACTGATAAAAAACTGATAAAAACTGAAATTTAACTGCACTACATTCAAAGAAACGAATTGATCATAAAAGAAACAAATAACTGATACAAACTGTAAAATAACGTGACAGCATTTGTGTCACTGTCAACATCCATTCCTTGCATTGCTGTTTTCAAAAGGATATCAAAATATAAGTTTATGCTGATCTTGAAATCTTTTACTTCTACACTAACTTTTAGTTAAAAATAGACAGCATTTAGATATGTTCTTTTGTTTTGCTTTCTGGTAGTTTGCCATTGCTAACATTCTAGGGCCATGTTCATAAGATTCCTTGGTTAGTTGACTACTTTTTGATTCTATTATGTTTCTGCTTTTCAGATTTACAAAGGAAGATTGGGGAATGGGACTTATATTGCTGTACGATCTTTGACTTTATTGAAAAAGCTTTCAATTCAAAATCTCAAAGCTAGGCTTGATTTTCTTTCAAAGCTTCAACATCCACATTTAGTTAGTCTCTTGGGTCACTGCATCGAGGGTGGTCAAGGACATAATTTTAGCACAAACAAAGTTTTCCTTGTGTATGAATTTGTGCCTAATGGGCACTATCGTATGCATCTCTCAGGTTAGTGGTTCTGTATGTTGAACTTAAAATTTTTGTGTTTCAGACATGATGTTTTTCTAATATTTGCTTGCTCATCTATTTCAAAAAGGCCATGGTCTTATGTATGTTGTTTTCTGTTGTTTCTGCTTATGGACTGGCTATCAACATGCAATTTTAACAACTCTTCTAGCAATCAATGTTGATTAATTAGATGCTGACATCAAATTTGGAAACATGGTGCAGAAAATTGTCCAGAGAAAGTTCTTAATTGGGCAGATAGATTGTCAATTCTGATTGGTGTTGCCAAGGCTGTACATTTTCTGCACACCAGTGTTATCCCTGGTGCTTTTAATAACCACTTGAAGACAAATAACATATTGTTGGATGAGCATCAGATTGCAAAGCTGAGTGACTATGGGATGTCCATCATTACAGAAGAAAATGAAAAACTAGTGGTTTGTTTCATGGCTATTTACATTGCCTCGTTTACCAGACAATGAATGATATTGTGGTTCCAACTAAGTGGTTATCCTGACACACTTTATTTTCTCCGCAGGCAAAGGGCGAAGGCTCAAAGTTAAGGTATCTGCTTTACTGTCTCATCTTATAGATGTTTACTTTAGAAGACAATATGGTTGTCACTGCATTGAACAAACCACCTCTGCCATTACTGTCCCCATGCCATCGTGCCCTTCTACAACGATTGTCAATGCCAACAAGTAAATTGAGAGGCAGAAGAATTTTTCTGCCTGAAGGGCTGAATCTGATATGGGGTTGACAAGTTCTGTTCACCAGTTGGTTCTTGATTACTACCTATATATAACTAACTCAAACCATGTTTAATTGCAGCCAAAGGGCAAAATTAGAAGACGACGTTTACAATTTTGGATTCATATTACTTGATTCGCTTGTTGGGCCTATTGGTACTGGAAAAGAAGAAGCATTTCTGATGAATGAAATGGTATGCTAGTGCTTTTTGTTCAAATGAATTCCTTTTTACTTGACATAATAACAACACTTAATGTATTAGCTAGATTCCATACAACTTCGATCAAATTTTTAAACGTTAAAAGAAGGTGGGATTTCTCTGTCATTTTACAGGCATCCTTTGGCAGCCAGGATGGACGAAGAAAAATTGTGGATCCAATTGTGTTAACTACTTGCTCACAGGAGTCACTATCAATTGTGGTATCCATCACAAGGAAATGCATATCTCCTGAACCATCATCACGTCCCTCATTTGAAGACGTTCTTTGGAACTTGCAGTATGCAGCTCAAGTGCAGACAACAGCTGATGCAGACCAAAAATCAGATTCAACATCATGGTTGTAGGTACCCAAAGGTTGGTTTAGTAGAAGGCTGCTGTCATTATCTTAATAAGAAAGCAAGTGTAGCAGTTTGGAAGGTGTGTCTTCTCTTCATCGAAGCGTAAGAAACAAGGTAGATTCACATCTGAGCTGCTTTCCTCTGCCATAATGTTAAACGCAAAGCTGTAGATGTCATATTTTATTGCTTAGACTTTTTTTTTTTTCAGCTAAAATTTTGGTAGAATATAGCTTGTTGTGTACTTTTTCATGTAACAAACAGAAAATGACATTGAAGATTCAAAAATGAGTTTGGTTCAAAGATTTTTCTTCCTCTCCATTTAGTTTTTTTTTATTTAAAGACAATGATTAATATATTAATATTATTAAATATTAACAACTGAAAATTTGATTTTCATATTTATTGAACAATCCATCAAACTTAATAAGATGTGACCATCAAACCGTTTGGTGGAGTTACTCCATTTAGTTGACGTGGGATAGTAGTGCTCACATTATTCAACATCACATCATTTGAGATGATTGTTGGTTGGCCTGAAATAATGAATGAGAACTCTGTCGGTTGCAGTTTTTTTTGATCTAGCTGGGATCCTATGAATCTTAAAAGGACAAGAGAATGGAAGGAAAT